AGATTGGCTCTGGCACGTTTGCGAATGGTACAAAAAAATGTCACGCTCGTGCTTAAATGCTTAGTGGTGTGGATAAAACGACCCACTTTGGGCACAAGCTATAATCATGATTAAAAAGTATTTGGGAGAAGAAATAAATTTAAATATCACACAACCCCTTTGTAGAACTTTGGCAATAAAACAAAAATCTTTCAATTCACTTTAGTTCTAAAAACGGTTAGACCAGCAGCACGGATCCCTGTGAACGGTGGTTCGGATCCTGCCTGTGTCTTTAATTAATTTGTAATTTACAAATTGGTGATAGGAACATTGAAATTCCGGCCGGGTCACGAATCACTGTCCACAGATTAAAAGCAAAAAAAATAAAATAAAAAACAAATAACCATAATAAACACGTGCTGTTCAAACCGCCTAAATTAGTTTAAATAATTTCCATTAATTTATTTACAAATTAGTTTATTACGTTCTGCATGCTCGACAAATCTTGTCGGACTTTTCAATGACGCCGTTACTGTAAAGAACCTTTAAAATTGTAGCTTAAGCGACTCGCACGCAAGTATAAAAAGACACTGTAGACATACAACTTCGGTGACTAGTTTCATCAATCAGTTTTCATGCTGTGGTTCATGAGGCTATTAAGTCCGTGTCCCACTTGTGGGAAAGCCTTATAAGTGCTGACGATGAAATATAAGAGCATAATAGTTTTTACGTAATGGCCTATTAATCTAAGCCCATTTAGTTATTCAATAGACGACCATTTTGAACGATAATTTAAGTTAATTATTGTTTATGTAAGCATTAATTATGGTTATGGGAAGTGGTTGCTTTCACTGTGTATTGAATGTTCATAAAATTTAAAATGTCAGGCTTTGCTTCTCTGCTGGGAAACTTGGATATCTGATCGTGTTTCTATGTTATCCAGATTGAGATAGTAACTCATGACGAATTGTCACAGCGTCTACATACATTATTATTCATTTCGTAGTTTACGCGAGTATAAAAAAAATTTCCAATCAATTTTAACGGTTTTAAACGCGATATATATTAGTTATAATTACTTATATAAATTACGGGCCGACGTTTCAGATGCTTAGCAGTAGCTGTGGTCACACGTCAGATGATGCCCCTAATGTCATAATAAGCACTACTACGCTAGCGCCATCTGTTTTGTCATAGATGGTATTTGGAGAAAGCTGCTCGGCTGGGTAGATTGTATGTGTGTGCTTTTAAAACTTTAATATCTTTCACATGTATTGTAACATTATGTCACACATGATGGCATTATATAAATAAAAAAAAAGATTTTTAATTGAAGACAATTACGATACAATTTTTTCAAACAACATATAAATATAACCTAAACATATAAATAAAATATTTTTTTAAGAACATGTGGTTAAAGCTATAATTATACTGAAATGCGGTTAGAAGGGAAATCGCTCGTAATCACCGTATGAAGATGACAAAATGTATTTACCACAAAACTTTTTGTGCTTTCATCATTCATTGGTCAACAGTCCGAGCAGCCACTACTTGTATTGCGCGCAAGGTCTGGAGTTCGAATCGCGAGCAAATATGATATTATTTGTCTCATATGTTTATCATGCCTTTAATTTTTTTTTTTTTGATAGAGATGGACAGATAATCATGGGGTTTATTTTGCATCTAAACAAGATGCAAAATAAAAAATACTTTATTCTCTTTAAACTTTCAAAAATTATTTAGATTCGTCGAAAATGATTGTCTGTCGTGATTCTGAACATGACCGACAAGAACACACAAGAAACGCTGTCGTCCATCTTGGCTTTGGATATTGAGAAATCCACGGACTGAAACGAAAGCCAAATAAGGATAAAATTCACGTTGGTGCTTTTAAAGGAATCGGCAGAATGCTTTTTGGTTTAAAGTTTGACATGTTACAGAAGATTCCATACTATCTATACTATTACTTGTATGTTTGTCTATTTGAAAGCGCTAATCCCAGGAACTACTGGTTCGATTGGAAAAAAATAATCCTTTTTGTTACTTAAATCTTCTATCGAGGACGGTTTTAGGCTATTAAATATCAGGCTGCAACCGTTAGGACCGATGAAACAAAAATCTGTTGCGTGAGCGCTGAAAACTGTGCAAGAAACCAAACAATATGTCGAACAACATTAAATGACAAAAAATAATCTCGACAGCGTATGTCTATCTTTTAAGATTAAGGTGAGTGACAGATATAGTTTACGAAGTTATTTGAAAAAATAATATGACCCCCAAAATAACTAATCCACGCCGACGGGGTCGCGGGCCCAGCTGGTATTTCATAAAATTTGAAACAATTTAGTACACAATAGTGACTTCTTGACTTCAAGCAAAGTAAAGCTAAGTTGAATAAATTTCTAAATTATTTGTAAGTCATCTTTTTACTGCAAATAAGTTTCCTCAGATCGGCATAGCTGTTGAAATTATTGTAATTAGATTTACAATGCCCATCGGTTACACTTTTTTTACTTGAGTTGCATTAACTTGTTACGATACAAAAAACGGCTCGTTTTTATATGTTCAGCGGATATAGATTTTCTCTTTAATTATTATTTTTAGTAATGCTATTGTAGTACAAAGTATTGTGGTACTAATTATTTGTTTATATTCTGACAAGTTCGTTGGTGGGTAGAAATGTATCGCTAATAACCAACAGGACGTGAGTTCCATCCCCACCGTGACCGACATTTTTAATTTTTCTGAAACATGGTTTCACTCTGTGAATTTCTGAATATCCGAAACCAAACTACGTCGACAGCCCATCTTGTTTGGATGTTATGTGGCTGGGATATTTCACCCACCATCAAGTGGAAGTGCTAGTCTGTCTATCATAGAAAAGTGTTTCGTTTAAATGTACTACTCGCGTAAACAACAGACAATACTTCGAAACAACTGGTTCTTTCGAAATTCCTTGAGCACAAATCCGTCTTGTTTTAATAAATACACGAGTTATTTTTCATCTTTCAAACGTCACGATACGTCGACGACATTTGTCCGTCACGACTCGTCCCATATAAGGGGATGCTCTGTTAATAAGACAACAGTCGTGATGTTTGTTTTAAAGCCTTTTCGTTACGAAAATTTTGCTCTTAAACATGATTGGGACGGTAAAGAATGAGGCATAGAACAAATTCTATTCACCCCACCATACGACCTCGGTAAATCACAAGGTAAATGTTATGCTTGTTTGTACAATTTTCGAGTAAATATTACTAGAATTAAAAAATAATAATTCGGAAGAAGAAATAAGACCTAGAATTTCCTTGACTAAATCCATCAATTTTAACAGTTTAAAACGCGAAATATGTTAATTAACCTATAGTTTTTAATTTTCCCTGCGCCCCGATAATTTTCTTAATACATTAAGCGTATTAACTGTTATTTTTTAATGATAATGCACTGGCGATCTGCAAACAATATTTATTTAGACTGTTATTTATAGACATGTTATAAGTCATATTTTAATGTAAGTAAGTAAGTCAGTTTAAAAAGTAAGTATTTTACTTAATTGTAATATGTATAAACACTCACCAACAGTGTAGAATCATTTTTTACATATTAATCATGCTAAATTTAATGAAAATTTTTGATAAAATTTTAAGTATCTACGTTGGTACAAATTCAACTAAAATATACATAATACAGTATTAAGGTGAATGAATGTTCAAAATGTTTGTAGAAAGTGACATAAGGATAAGGTGCCCCGGCGCAGGTGGTTAACATAATCAGCTGTTACATAACGCTAATGGTCGCACGTAAACTAGAAACGTTGCGCCGGCACAGCGCGACCCATTACCGTTCCAAATCCCGTTACTCATGACTCGGGTATTCTATTTATAAGCTCTGTATTGAAGAAAATTGCTTCCAACTTCGGACTTTTTGCGCCGAAATTTGGTTAGTTTTTAAATATACTATTAACAAAAAATAGATGGTCGTTGTTAACATCTAATATATTGTTCTTTTTTGTGATCAAGGAAGAAAGACAAGCATGGGGCTCACCTCATGATATATGAATATAACATCTCAACCAAATGCGCTGTCGACCTATTTCGGCTTTGGATATTTGGAAATCTTATTGAAACCGAAACGCAATTAAACTTCTTGACCCGGACGGAATTTCGATATTCTTTCTCCCCAATTATCATCCAGATTTCCAGACGAAATCTAACATATATATCAGAAAAAGTTATAAATTGTTTAAAACATGTTGGACCTGTGGGGATCGAATCCACGACCCGTTGATTATTTGCCATACATTGCTACATTATTTTCAATGTTTTGTTTGAAAAACGTTAAACTCTGTAATTTCATCTCCAATAATTTTCTTAAGCTACAAAGCAAAAGAAATTGAACCTTAACTCGCAAGTGTTAAAGTTTATTACAAGGTGCATGTAAATAGGTGTTATAGGCTAAAAATATTTTGTTAGATTAGTAAGATATTATGAAAATATTAATGTTTATTTTGGATTTGTATTGTTTTGTTTAAATTGAAAGATCTGTGAGTCTTCAGGTAGGCGTATACTTTTTAAGTATAAATAAGCATTTAATTTGTAGATATGTATCAAAAGATAATATTACTGTCTCTTAAGCAAATTGTGACAGTGTCCATAGACAATCTAAAAGCATTCTGTCAATAACGGTATTGTTGTCTCTAGGGAGCATTACTCTTTCGACATTTCTTGTCTATGGTATTATGTAAGGTCTAACGGTTTATCTATTATTTAAGTTTGATCGATATCTTTCAACAGCTCGGTAGCATTGTAGCGCTATAAATAAGCCAATTAAAAATTTCGATCAAGATAAGTACTTTTATTTTGGCTATTAAAAGAATTGATGAAATATTGGGTGTTGACCAAGCTTTGAAAGAATGTATCTATCTGCCAGGCCGATTATCAATACGCATAAGAATAAAAAAAAACATGAATCGTATCATAACTTGTATTTCTCATACTTTAACATTTACACTTAAACTTTCAAATATTCTTCAGCACATACTCCTGCGGCAAAGGGCTGTCTGCAAACGGCCAAATAATAGCAAAATACCACCTAATCCCAAAAACATTTCTCAAGTTTTCCTTAAACATTTTGGTGTTAATACCTCTCTTCAACCTAGAATCACGAGCTACGACACCCCTGACAGCATTTCTTACGTGGTAAGCGAACAGCAAACCCGACCAGAAAATAAGTCCGCAATTCATGAAGAGAAACAGCACATACACATCTTTAATACTAGCCGGTTCAGTAAGCATGTATCTGAAGAAGGGGTTTATGATGCGGAACACAGATAAAACCAAGTCGTACTCGTCAATTTTCGTAAGTACATAGTAGTAGTTGTAAATAACAGAATAGGACAAAGAGATGAAGATGTAGGTGAGGTATAAGATGAAGTACCTCTGGTTGTACAAACCGATGCAGCGGGAGAGGAAGAAGCAATGGTGGTCGCGTCTGAGGATGCAGATATTGCATCTCTTGCAATGCCACGCCATAGCTGGACGGTTCCGTCTGCAAATCTCACAATAGGTGTCGCCGATTTGACAGCTCCGTTTAATACTGGTATCAGTCAGGATACTAAGGACCATGTTACCGACGACGTTGATGAAGCAGAAGCAAGCGCAAATGATATGGAAGGAGTGCATCATGATACCGTAGTTGTAGTGTTGGGCGACGATCGGACGGACGAGGGCCATCTCGAATATGAAGAAGCACGGCGTTATCACATAAACTAGGACGAAACATATTATTTTCTCGTATGCTGTGATGAATAATTTTATGATTTTAAATGGTACTTTTAAATATTTAATCATTCTATATACGATTAAGGAATTAATATATTTTTGACACTTGACACATTAACAGAATATGAAAAGAGGAATGTTATTGGGACAAAAAAGGTTTTATTATAATTATTTTTTTAAGTAATAGACGCTTTTATGTATAGTTACATATGAATGATAGTTGTCTTTCTTATAAATCGTTTTAAAAAGGAGAAATTGTATAACTAAACCGATTTACAAGTCCAAAAATAAAAGAAATATATAAAAGATATTCTTTTATATATTTTTTTCCAGAAAATTCAACTGTAGGTTGAAAGACTAACTACACTTATATTGTAAAGAGGTAGATTTGTCTTTCTCAAAATAATTTTAACTAATATATATCGCGTTTTAAAGCGTTAAAGTATTCTATTTCAATGTGGACTACTCGCGTAAAGTAAGTATTTACGCCATGGTCTCGTTGAACTAATAACGACGTAACAGTTTCAGATCCCTTGCACGAAGTTGACATTTAAATACAGCCTTTAAGCCTTTTAGGGCCCTTCTGCACGGTAGAAAGTGAAATTGCTTTTATTTATAACGAGACTTTCGTGTCTCATGTTAAATGTCAACGCTTTTAAACGACAAAGGGGATAATCCTTACAAGTGGTCTTTATCGTCGACGCATTACATTTGTAATATGCTGAAGAGTTTGTTTGAACGCGCCAATCTCAAGAACTACTAATTCAAATTCAAAAAACTGTGTATGAAAGAGGAATACTTCTTTAAATGATCTAAAAATTTTCCGCAACAGTAAATATTGATCTTTTAAAACTATAAAGTTAAGGAGCTTTCCACGCGAAGTCGCGAACATAGCTAGTTAAAAATAACCACACAAACAACTTTTAACGGTTTCAAACTCAAAGCTCTGCTAGTAGTTTTTTATACGCGATTCTACATTTCGTGAGTTTTACAGCAGTTGTGTGACGTTTTATACCGTTCAAAGTGTTTTATTTATTGGGTGAAATTTCGCGTTTTAATCCGTTAAAAAAATTCTATTTAATTTTTTTGTAAATTTAGTTCTAATCTACACATTTAACATTTCGTAAGTATTATATTGACAAGATTTGATCCTATTTCAAAAATACCTTTCACTGAAGATTTGTTTCGTATTAAGCCACTTAAAATTATTTAGTAATACAAATATAATTACACGAACAATAAGCATACTTATTGCGGAGATAATAACGTCTATTTTCCTGTCACGGAATTGCGCAAGCGAAGATAGATTACATTTTGTTTCGTCCGCTAACGAAATAATATTTATTGCTTTGAAATTTCTTATCGTTTTAATTGATTATAAACTATTTGTAAATATAGGTTTGATGTTTTAGGTTTTCAAGTATTCAGTCTTATAATAATAATAATATTAAAACAATAAAATAAAACAAAATGCGCTGTCGCCCTATTTTAGCTTTGGACTAAATGTCAGAAGCTTAAAAAAGGTCCCCTTACAATTATTTATTGGCAAGTTCGTTGGTGCAGTAAATATGTCGTAGGTTTGTTTAAAAATCAGTAAAAAAATTTAAATTATTATTAATTATAAAAATATTTAAAATTTGGAGAAAAATCGAGTTTCGGTTCTGTAGATTTCGTTAAACCTTCGAACCTCTTGCTTTTTTTTCCTCTAACAAAAAAAATTTTCAACTTAAAAAAATTTTTTTATTTAAAAATTTTTTTTTTTTAAAAAAAAAAAAAAGAAATGGGGGGGGGTTGGGGGGGGGGGGGGGGGGGGAGGGGGGGGGGGGGGGGGGGGGGGGCGAATATTTAAAAATAGGTCCGATAACGCATCCTTTTTTAGACGTTATATGACTGAGGCGTTAAACCTTCTAAGTGAATCACCTCTCAATTAATTTCTACCTTCTTTTTGCTAATGTCTTATGCTTTGCAGCTTGAATCAAAGTTATAACGTTTGAAAACATTAATATTTTTCACATGTTATTGCACATGAAGGCACTATATAATTTAAAAAATCGAAAATAAATTGAAAAAATTTTCCCGCGCGAACCGCATCTCAGCTTCCGTGCTTTGCTCTACCAATTGAGCTACCGAGTCCTACACCTCATCGTCGATTTTTTCAACTTATTGATACATGCCCTCTCGCGCAATGTAATTTCTACTTAACACTTGCGTATTAAGGCCCATTGTCTTATCTGTCCCTAACAAAAACAATTATCAACTTAACAAAAACATTTTAAGTTAAACGGTTTTATTTTTTGTGCACTTCATTTTTTTTTAATTTTGCCATAATCATCGTGCTTTACTAGTGTAGCCCTTTCATTTGATACCCATATTGAGAGGGTTAAGGGACAATATGTTATCCGCCATTTTGTATCGGCGGCCATCTTGGATTTATAATGTTTTTGAGTACCAAATTTCGTAAATCTGACAACGGGAAGTGCTTAAATTTCAATTCCAAATTTGACCCAAAAAAATAAATTCCGTACGGGTCGAGCTAAATAAAACCGTTTAAAAATAGTATATTCTGACGCCAATTGTCATAATATGAATTAATCTTAGTAAAATGTGAATGTATGCGATTTCACAGTCATTTAGTAATTAAGTTTCCATTCAAGAACAATAACGTTTTATGAGCCATTGCTAATATTTAAAAGGATATTAATACAAAGAAAATTATTCCTATTGTATACATAAAGACAATTGTATATTAATAGCTATGTTTGCTATTTTATATTCGCCTGAATAAGAATTATGAATATGAAGCTACGTTATGTGTAAGCAATTTGAAATGTTAGTATAGATTGTTTACAGTGTTGAAACGTGATGTATATGTATAATAGCGAGAGCTTCTAGGTTTTAAGTTATAGGCTTCTAGGTCGAATTTAGGAAGTCTGAAGTAGAAGAGTGGTACCAAAACGATTTATGGAATGTTTGTTAAAATTCTTTCGAGTTCAGTACATGTATTTATAATAAGGAAATATATTTTAGCTGATTTTGATACACGAAAATGTTTGTTGTCAATTACTATTTTGCGTGAAACTATAGTTTCTAACACAAACACTTATAATGGTGTAAACCGCGATGTATAAAGATTAAAATAAATTCTATGACACAGCCAAAATTTGAAGTAACAACTACGGCATGCCGTGCTGTTGCTAAACCAAATGATCAACTGTGTCCCGTATGTGCACATCGAATTTGTTCAATCCATGAAATACTATATTTTTAATCTTACTGAATACTCGGTTCTCCCTATGGGGAAAAGGACGAACACATTTTTGTGTCCGTTACACTTAGTTACTTTTTTATTTGAAGGATTTGCAGTTTTCCTGGATTCAAAAACGAGACGCTGTGGTTAACGTTTGACTCAACGGTATTATACTGTCTGTTGTTTAGGACAAATTTAAATAAAACACTTTAGCAATTTAAAACGCGATATATATTAGTTAAACTTATTTGAAAATTATTTTAACTACGACCCGACGTTTCGGATGCTTTACAGCAGCCGTGGTCACGGGGAGATACAGTCAGAAACATCAAATAAGTTTAACTAATATATATCGCGTTTTAAACCGTTAAAGGGTATTATGTAAATTAATTAGATAAGATTATGAAGGCTGTGTTTCGAATGTCGAAACCCACGCTGATAGATTCTTAATTTGAATATTTGAATAGTAGTTCTTGAAGGCAATACTTAAACACTGAAAAATTAAGAATAATTAAAATTATGTAACTCGCTGCAAATTAGTTTTTTCCTTAACCGGAAGTCTTTAGCGCGGTAACTTTAATAGCTATGTAAATTAAATAATCTGTTACCATTTATCTACATCTGTTACAATTAAAGGGAAAGTTTTTTATAGGCTGGTGAATCTTGATTTACGTGTCAATTTAGGATGTTATGGCATAAGAGTTTGAAACAGGCTTATCTTAATAAAAGAGTTATTTCTATCTTGATATTACGCATAGCTGGAAAAACATCTTTTCATAACTTAATACGCAATTAGTAGTATTTTGCATGCTTAGTTTTCTGAAGAACCAATTCAATGAAAAATGTAATTTTACACAAAAAATTGACATAAGAGAAACTTTTGTAGAGATATTTTCATGCTATTAAAATTAACAAAGAAACACTTTCCAGTGTAATATAACTTATATTAAACTAGATTGATTCGTCATTAACTCTAGTGTACTACGTGTACATGTGTACACGCTCTAGTCTACTAGAGCGTGGTGGGCTTATAAGTGCGTGAGCAGAGTTTGACAACGATTGACACTCAATCAGTGGCAATAACCAGGACTGCTCAAACTCTAAACTCCGGTAGTAAAAAAGTATTAAAAGGGATTAGAACCCCGAACCTCGTGGTCTTCCTCAATCGAGTATCAAAGCTAAATAAATATACAATTTGAAAACCCTAATACTTTTACATGTACAATATGGCACATGGTGCCATCATATAAAGTAAAAATCTATTAAGATTGAAAAAAAATGATGACACGGTCCCGCCCGTGTCATAATTTTTTTTTCCATTTTTTTTTGAACCAGAATCAGTTACACCCGTCATTGCGATGACGAAATTTGACAATGACGTGTAGGTTACGATTGCTCAACTGGTTGGTGCAGCACTAAACGCTGTGGATGCCGGTTCAAGTCCCGCCCGAGTCATGATTTATTTTTGAAACCAGATTCATTAAAAAAAAATACGCTATTGCTCAGTAAAAACTCAATTAGATTACAAGCCAGATGTGAATGCGTACGTAGATGATATCGCACGCGTGCTGTTAGAGAAAGTGGGCATTAGTGTTTTTTAGGCCTGTTGTTTATAAAAAGCTAAGCTTTTTTCTGCACTATGCACTTTAGGAAACGTTGTCTCCCCGTGACCACGGGGCAGCAAAGCATCCGAAACATCGGGCCG